CAAACATTTTTTACTGGTCAAACTTAAACAACTAGTAACATTTAGATAAGAACCTAATTATAAGTAGTATAACAACATTTTTAAAACAGTTTTTACTGAATACATTAAGGAGGTTGCATTTGCTCAAAGTTTAAATACCTTTTTAGGGTACATAACATTTTAATATATACTTTTTACATATAAATTATGCCATTAAGTGACCTTAAAAAATGAATAAAAAATAATTAAGAAAAGCTAAATGCATGATTGAAAATTTTGCAAGTGCTGTATCAAAGATTAGAGTGATAAGGACCAAATTTATCACTTTATTTAAAGTGATGGATCAAATTTATTAGTCACACTTTTAACTTTGAGCTTTTGATTTAGTTTAAAAATAGTCAAAAGTTAATAGTAAAAAATTAACAAATAATTTCATTTTTTGGTACCCAATATTTTTTGGTGCATCACAAACCACCCTTTCCCTACTGTAAATAATTTCTCCCACATTTTATGTCTCATCTGCATTTGATTATTTTTTTTTTTTAAAAAAAAGAAAAGATCATGTTTAGCATCTTATAATATTACCCAACCCAACGTCCCACTCCTTAGTTGTCCTCCGACGAGTAATTGGGCAGTGGAATTCTTTAGCCACTTTTTCAATGAATAGGAAAACTTACCTTTCATAGGGATAATAATGATAGTTATAGACAAAAGTGAAGCGTGACAAGTCCCTTCACTTTCCTAACAAAATATATAGTTTTAAGTCTCAAACTCATTTATTTCATTTTGAATTTCCAAAAGCATTAATCAATTCAATCTGACGTAATGGAAATGTCACTTGGTTCCATCAAATACAAGAGGGTATTTATCCCAAGCTTGGCCATATCTGTGACCAAAACAAATATTATTGGCCCAAATAGCACCTTGTTTTTCTTACCATATTCCTTTTAATGCTTAAGCAGCAGCTTATTGTTTCATATGTTTTGTGACCCAGTTGACATTGACGAAGAAATCTATGCCGGCCACTATAAACAATTGCGTAATTTGATTCAACAAGGTTGCCACATGCATGGTTTGATTGGTTGATTAAACAAATAAAGTCTTCTCACCCGTCTTCCTACATTTTAACCATAAAGAACAGAAAAAACAAAACAAAAGATAAGATAAGATGATGCTATGATGTTAAATTTTATCAATCTATCAATATCTAGTCACAACTTCTAGTTTATACATTGAAATGTTTTAATTAAAAATTTCATAAATTTAACTTAAGACACTTCATATAAAGTTTTTCACTTTGGAAAATTTCATTAAAATTGTTGAAAATTAGGAAATAGGCATAATTTTCTTCGAATTATTGCTTTACATGAATGGTATGCCACATTTGCTGAAAGGGTTACAATAAAACTGGAAGCCTACCTTCTTAGATATTAAAATGTGTGGGATTTCCCCCTTGAAAGGGTCATGTAACTGTGCATACCCATAGTTAAACATGTTTTCTTTTTTCTTTTTCTTTTTCTTTTCTAAATTATCATCTCAAGAATCTTTAGTTTGGTTTGGTGCCAAATTTCACTCCTTACCATTCTTTGAATTTAAGCAATCAAGTTGATGATTACATTCTTATCAAAATAACTTTGCGTTGAGAAATGAAGATTAATTTTTGTATTATATATGTGAAAAGTCATTAGATTTGAATAATATAACGAAATATCTATATATTCATCCATGCAAAAGGAAATAGCTCCTTTTTACTCTTGGGATAATTTTGATAATTGTTACAAAAAGAGAAATATTGTATTATGAAATATTATATATTATAAAAAATTAAATTAGGTATAAGTGAGTGAGTTATATATGTAAGATTAATTTCAATTATAGTCTAAGTTTAATTAAGTAACAGTATCATAATATAATTTTAATTAAATAATTTATATAATTATCTTAACAGGTAAGCTAGGGATAAAGCTCATTAACGCCCTAACAGAAAAGTGGTGGTCCAATTAAAAAATTATACGTTAACATGCCAGGTAGAGTGGCGTCCAATCTAGAAAAATGAGGAGGTTTCCTAATTGCTAACTCCTCCTGTCCTCGTCAGGCAGCCCCCTTGGCCCTTACCTTGCCGCATGATGATGTGTCCAGGAACCAAAGATTTTGGTACTGATGTGGGACCGACATTTGGTGAAACCGAAGTTGATCTCATCCACTCACAACGACTCTAACTGTGACAATTATGATCCCACATCAAATCAAGATCAGATGGTTGAATCTTCTCTTTTGTTTCACATCCACTTGGCTCTACATTTTGCGACATGTGTCTTGGTCATGGTAAGCAATCATTTTTAACTTTTACGAAACCTTAGACGACAGGTTACATTTTTGGAGAAAGGCATACTAGCTTTTTTTTTTTTGAAGGGTTTTTCTAGGGATATTTTCTCTAGCTTTTTACAGATACTGTTAAAAAGTTGTTGTTTTGGTTATTTGGTTTATGTATAAAATCAAGTAAACACATCAATTACTTTTCACTAAACAGGCTGAATAAATTAAATATCTTAAAATGTTCTTTTCATCATAAAAAGATATACATATTGCTAATTGATAAATCCTCCTCTAATTGTGTCTCATATTTATCCAATTTTCTCAAAATATGATTGGGGTTATCGATTTTGTCCGGTTGTCACAAGTGTGCTCACTTATTTCTCATTCACAAGTTATTCCATTAAATTGACTTTGTCTTGACAGAGTCAATCAAGTTTCAACTGATATACGCTCTATGTTATTTATTCCAATCGAAAATTTCATTATCATTAAGAATAACACAAGCCTCGAATAAAAGAAACTACAACTATTATCCTGTTATGAAGAATTATAACCACAAAAGTTATGTAACAAGAATGGCCACTGATGGCGTGAGTTGCAACATGAAAGGTCAAGTAGGAGTAGGAACCCACGAAACATGTTATGAGCGAGGCACGTGTTTAATTAAAGAGCGTCACCAATTAATCAAGAACGGCGGTGGAGACGCTAGCTGTGGCCTTGCTTCTGCTCTGCTTGGATCCTCCATCCACGATTCCTACATAAAGAAACTCGTCGTTTTCATTTTTAAAGCTCTGCTCATTCTGGAATCAGGGATCCATTACCAGAACTACAACAGACCTTATTCTTCCAGCTTGATTTGATCCATTTTGTTTCAGGAAGAAAATGATGTAACAATCGAAAATCACCAGGGAAAATCATTAAATTTGTTATTATTGATGAACAATATGGAGATACAGCAAGTACCAAAACCAGTAGGTCCTAACAAGTATTTCTTTGGACAAAAACAAATCTTCTTGCCCTACAATTGAAAGAAGAAAAAGTAACTTGTACTTACGATATCCAATTATCGCACAAGATCCTAGGACCCTCCATTTCCAAATCAGTATCCCATTCAAAAAGCAACAAGGATCAAGAATCCACAAACCAAACCCAATAACCCCACTTCCAAATTCCGGCTTGCACCACCAAAATCTTGGTCAACAGGGTATAGGCTCCCTGGTGGACCCGTCATGTATATAAAGGATGGCGGACTAGGTGGCGGTGGACAGTATTTGGTTGGCGATTTTTTTGGTGGAGGTGGCGGCAGCGCCGGTGGTGGTGGACATGGCGGCGGGGGCGACGGTGGTGGAGGACTTGGTGTACACGATGGGCTACACTTGACGCCTGGATCGCCTGGCGCAGTGCTCTCGTCAAGCTTCCTTGATTCCAAGCTGTTGGTGGGATATGCAACAGTGGCGACTACAAAGAATATGGTTAGTGTTGTAATTCGAGGATTGAAACGGTTCGTTTTTATCGACATGGCCGTGAATCCGATTGCTGGAACTCTTTTGTTCGCTGAGATGGGGAATACTGATTTCGTGGCCAGAGGAGAGGAGAGATTTTGGGAGGAAATTTGTGAGAGATGGAAGAGAGGAGTTTGTGCCTTGGTAAGGAGCGGTGTTGTTACGTCATTCGGTGCATGAAGACTTAGAAAGGCTGAAAAGTGAAGTGGTTTTTGGTGAAATTGGGACACTTAAGCTAGAAATTCAGAGGGCAAAATGGAGTGAATGAGACGTCTTCTTATGGGCTCTTCTACGTTTTTTTTTTCTACTAGGAAAGTCTGACTGCCTTGTGTAACAAGGGAATCCCATTGCATGTGGGAATGATGGGATGGTCCAAAACTTAGGGGCCCCCACCATACACACTTTTCCAACTATTATTAATTTGTTAGAAATGGGTTTCTTCCAAGTTCTAAATTCTGATCACTGTGTACTTAAATTATGCATTTCATAAATTTATTGTTCTTTTTCTGGGGATATAAATGATTGATTTGAGTAGATGAAAAGGATATTTTCTGACAAGAGAATTTCACTTGCTTAAGTTTGTTAAACAGTAGAGTCATCAGAGTGATTGAGAACTTGAATTCAATATTAACATTTCTTATATTTTGCATACTCTGTTTTTTTTTCTCTTCTTTAAGATTGATTGTAAATTCTGTTTTTCAACATGTATAGCAAAAAGATGATGGAACCGTATACCCAAAAGATGTAAAGAGAGAATTGTGTGCACAGCCGATACAGTTAGAGACAATTAAACTTTGCAGATCATACTCCTCAACATTTATTATTGCAAGATCAATAAGTCTATCTCGGAATGCTCCACCATGTTTGCGCACATGATTGGTGCATTAGAAAGAACTATCTAATAATTGAAGTTTGATAAATATATATATTTTTGTGAGATACCAACTATCTGATCAATAAATATCTAGAGATAGTATACATATATATATATATATATATATATATATATATATTCATGTTCAAGTCCAAGCTAGCGTGCAAAAATAATATTAATAAATTTGTATGAAAGTCATGGCATGGGTGATTTGAGGTTGAGGGTTTCTTTGAAGAAAAGAAATACCAATTGAGGAAGAAATTTTTCATTTTCTCTTAGAGGAAAACGGAAAATGAAGTTGAAGCTGGCGTTGAAAGGGGTCACGAGTCCACTGATTTGGAGATTGGATTACACATGAATTTTGTGGGATTTGAGTTTTATGTATGATTTGATATTTAATTATATGAAATACAGATAATCAAGTGTTTGATTCTTTGCCAACAGGAATATATACATGGATGTCACAATCAATGGACAACGGGTATGGTGGGTGAGAGATGGCTATGGATGGAATATAATCGTAATAAAATTGCAACAGCTTTGCACCACAAACGTATTGTACTTATATTATTAGCTTTATAAGTTGTAAATATACTACTTGTTTAAGAGAAATTTGGCTAAAAAATATATATATAAAAAACAAACAAACAGTTGTCACTATCCCCAGAAAACAAGTCAATTTATGAGGAAAAGATGCAGGTGACCATGGGGACGGTGGTCGCTCTCAGCTCAGACCAGCCATTTTCGGAACCCCTGGTCGAGCGGAGAGGCGAAGTCACTTCCTATTTATCAACTCATGTTCCATTGCCTTTATCATTTTATCTTAATAGGATTCCTCTTTTCCTCTTAACCACTTTCTTCCAGCTACTTCTTTGTGACAAATCAAAACTCCATTTCTTCTTCTAAATTTCACAATTTATCTTTCCCTCTTTATAATTTTATTTGAAGGGTTTTCGATTTTTGTTCTTGTTTTTGTTGTTTTCCTATGGTAAAATAAGGACAATGTGAAAAGGATAACGCCTGAATTAAAAGACGTACGTTTGGGACATTTTTAGTGTAGTAATGGCCTAATGGGACAATTTACCGATCAAACAAACAAACAAAAACAGAGGCCAAGCGGGACAAAAGGATAGGTTATTTGACATGTATATACTGCAACAACTAACCAGCAGTTAATAGAAACAAACTCAATTGTTACAATACAAGTGTTTGTGGCATTAAGATAGGTACAGCTTTTAAAAAGATTTATCAATTGGTAAATTGAGATGGAAATTTTTGCGGATGATTGTAATTTTCTACATGAACATCATAATTAATTGGCAGCCGAACCAACGAAGAATTTGTAGATTAATCTAGTTAGAAGACTTAACCTTGAAGAAAGGGAAGCAAAAGGCGGGGCCAAAAGTTGGAAAAAACCAATGGAAGATGAGTGAATGAGAAGAGGTTGGTAGAGAGATAGGCCACCGTCCCATTTTCTTAAAGCATCTTCCACCCTTTTTCAAGGCACATCTTTTAGTCAACTTCCCTAATCGCAAAAATTAATTTTAACTCCAAAGCATTGCTTTTGGTTTGGAACCTTCCTATATACATAATATATAATTTAAAATCCTCTGCTACCCATGGTTCCAATGATTCAGTAGTGTTAATCAAGAGGCCTTCAAAACTGCCATCATTAATCTGAGAAAAGAACACATACAGCTATGTGATTGGTTCAAATGATCAAATTGGAGTACATTCCCCATTTTAGTGGACATGTGTTTCCCACTTCGGAGTATGAAACAAAAACCCTAGTAATGCTCTCCACCACATATTTCATTCTCACTTATTTCATTCCTCCTAAAGATTAATCACTGTGTGGCTCCCTGTTCTAATGCCCTGTGCTTAAGAAAACGGAAGCAGGATGCCTCGCTAATACAATACGATGTTTTTGCAATCAAACAATTAGATAGTAACTATTTGCACATAGCACCAAGACCTTGTTCCCGCCTTTGCTCAGCTAGCAATTTCTAGATTTGCTGCTTACATCAGCATTCCAAATGTTATCAATGATTGTCAAATTACTAGGCTTATATAACCGCCTAAATCAGTCGAGAGAAGCATATTTTCCACTACAATAACAAAGTCAGACACAAGCAATTCTGATCAAACAGATACAAGAAATCGATTTTGGAGAAAACGGTCCTTTCACATTTGCTCAACTACATTATATATATATAGTGAACACCAAGGAAGTGTGTGTACATTACCATCCGGGAGTGTAGATATCCCTGAGCACTCTGACCAGCCGCTCACAAAGCACCATGCCATGACAAAAGTAAAAGTCCAAACCCCAACTACAAAATCCAACAAGTGTAACCATACCCAATCATTCTAGGCTTGTTTCCAAAGATTTGAGAAGCACATAGAATTCAGGTATCATCTGCTTTGAGATGAGGATCAATGAAGTACTAGAATGAGTATCATTCCCTTGTCCAAATGATTTCTGTTGTTAATTAAAGCAGAAACTTCAATAACTTCTGGTTTCATACATCTTGAGCCCTGATACACCTACATGTGAACGTCTATCACTCATCCGAGCTGAATCCCATTTTGTCCTCTTCGGGCTCCCAGATTTTTGAAATGATCCACAAAACCATGAAGGTGACTGAAATTCTTGTGCCATTTCCCAGAACATCTTTTGTAGCTCCTCAAGGCTGCAATCTTTTTCCTGATCAGCACAAGTAATAGTAGAAAAGAATGTTAAACAATTTCAACACAAAAAATACATTTATATATGGGCAATCCCCTCCAAGCAAACCAAGAAATCTTATTAAATAGTACTTAGGACTCAATTAAAAGCTCCACACTCGACAGAGCTACCAATTTTCCTTTCAGATATTAAGGAGCTATCTTTGGCAGGTGCACTCTTTTAGCACCACCAGCTACCCTCATGGTTACTCTTACATGTTGAAACAGGCGCATTCTTGGAGCTTGAAACATCATATCAAGCCTAAAAGATGAGTTATCATTCATATAAGAGGCCAACAAGAATTTGATGATGAGGGGGACGATCATCATACAACTGATCATCATTTTAATGACTTCCTATCATGCAAAAAGTGTAGTTCAAACTTTAAATTTACAGAAGATTCATATTTATCTATCCTAATCTTTAATGCTTTTTCATCATTTGGATCAAATTAATACAGATATAGTTTTGGTAATGTTCTACAGCTAAATTTTCAGCTCTTTCCCCCACCAGCGCTAAGAGAACAAATTTTAATTTTGTAGATATTGATAAAATGCACTACAACAACATAATAGTAACATTTTCTTTTGCCATTTCGTATGAAATGGAGCATGTAGCTTTAATTTTAAATGTTGCTCCGAAGTGTAATATTATACCAATATTTTATTCAACTCAAACTGAAAGTTAGGGCAAATTCATTACCTCTTTCCTCGTCTGCGCCATTAGAGTGATCATTTCCGCTGCAAAGTCAGAAAAGCCCTGCATACAAACCGTTGTTCATTCAATTGTTACAAACCATTGAAAGGAAAAATCCTTTAACTAAGAAATACCAAACTTTGTCCAAAAAAAAAAAAAAACAGCCACCTCGTCCTCTTCATCTTCAGGATCATATAACCCAGCATCGTACAGAATTCTCTTCCTCTGGTCTGATAAAACTGCCAGAAGAAAGAAAAAAAAACATTTGAAGTTATAACAAACTGCAATTAACCTAGCTAAAACGGGGTGATAAAATTAAAGGTCTTGGTCAACTTACTTACCTGAATAGGCTTCTTGAATCTGCTGGAATTTACGCTTAGCTTCACCCAATAGAGAAGGTGTTCTTGTCCACCTATCTGGATGCCATTGCTACACCACCATATTCACAACAAAAATTAAAAACATAACTTAGTATTCTTCAAACTGCTTCTAACATTAAAAGTCGCTGTCAATTCAACACCAAAAGCCAAAAATTGCCCCAAAACCAAAACCCATATTAGGTTCCTGGCAGGAAAAGAAGTTACCATTGCAAGCTTTCGATAAGCACGCTTGATATCTTGGGTAGAAGCATCCAGCTTGACACCTAGAACATTATAATAAGATGGTAAGCCATGTTCAGCCTCCATCGTTGACCCAGTTTTTATTTCCAAACAGGCATAAAAAAGACCCAATATCTGAGAAGCAGTTGTGAAAACCCCAGCTCTTTCAATGCCGTAATATTGTTGTTGTTGCTGTTAAGCAACCACATAGAGGGTTGAAAAACCAAGGGCAGAGGCAGGGGTTTATATAAAGAAATGGAACGTAGATTAGGAGAAGAAGAAAATATCTGAGTGAAAGGGTGCTGTTTCATTGACTAGGATGGGTGTTTGATGCCTGATTGGAGTCGGGAATGTTCAGGAACAATCTAAGCTCTTTCTTTATGCTGACGAACGAGTGTAACTTGGATACGCGAAGAAAGGAGATATTTTGGGGGCTTCCCTCGTCCTCTGTTTTTCGCCTAGGATGACGTGGCATGCAGTCGGTGATGATACGGCAGTCAGAGATCTTTTAAGGAAGACTTGTGATGTGACACGTGGAAAGCCTATCTTCGGGCCTTCTACGCTTTTGCTAGCCAAAGCTGACTTAAAACTCCAACTCGCCTAACAAGCCGAACCCATTTAACTCAAACCCAAATGAACCCACAACCCAAATATTCAAAACTTATAATAATGTCTTAACATTGTCATCCTTCCAATCAAAAATCAAAGAAGTAAAGGCCGGTTTTATGCGATATTATCTTCTTTAGTTTGTTGTAAACCCATTCGTGAATCGTGATTGAATTTTCATGTTGACTGTTTCTAAATCCTTCACCCCACTAGCAATTCTGTTGATAAGCTGCTTGGGTTTGAATATTTTGTGTTATTGATTCTGGGGATTAATGTTATGCATGATGATTCAGTCGGGTCTGGTCTTGTGATTTTGAGATGATCCTCATGGATGGATGGCTTTTGGGAAAGCAAGAGATGGAAAGAGGGTGAATAAATAGAAAGAAGGCAGGGTCAAGGCTCTGAACGCATATGTTAGGCAAGTATAGGCTTTCGTGAATTTAACATGCGTTTTTAGTGGTTTGTCTTTGAGTGCTTAGTTTGTTGAATTCCTTTGGGCTAGAATTTTATGTTAGAAAGTGACTGTCTTCCCACCACACAAGTCACGGGCCTGGTTTGTATACCGTTTCTATTCATAGTATTTCTTTCTCATAATTTATAGTATATTAATAAATTCATTGCCTAATTTTGGTAATGGTACTCCTGTCACATGCCAAACTTTCTAAATGGAATACGAGTACAAATGTAATAATTCTTCACTCAACAACAACTATAGTTAAAGACAAGGCATCGTAGTGTTCCTCTGAGAAGAAATTCATTGGGAAAATAATCGGAATTGAAGAAAATCAAGTTATATTTCTAAAATCTATTTGCTTTAGCCTTTAGCGAGAAATTCGTCATGAAAATTGAAAAAGCCTAAAGCATCTTTTGTTGAAGTCAGTAGTAATATTAAAAAACAGAAAACCCTTTTGACAAGAAAATCCGAATTATGAGACCCTTTTGACAAGAAATCAATAAAACAATAAAACAAAAAGGGGATAAACTGATCGATTCACTTAGAAATTCAAAATTCCTTTATCTAACTAGAGGCACTCTCTCCCCTGTTAGCTCCACTCAAAAATCCACCCATCATGGCTCCAATCAAACCCAGCTTTGTTTTTCTAATCATCATACTTTTTATAGCCGCAGCCCTAGCTACAAAGCCCCACGTCATCAATTTCCGATGGCGCAACCTCTACCCAGAAGGCATGGCCTGGGACCCCCCCACGCCGCACTTCATCGTGGGCTCCCTAAGCCACCGCTCCATCCATTCCGTTTCCGATGCAGGCGTTATTGAAAGGTAATCTCCGATCCAACCCTCCCAGAAAACGTCACTGTCTTAGGCTCGCCGTAGATTCAACCAAAAAACGCCTCCTCGCTTGCCTCCACTCCGCTCCTCCTCTCCCTCCTTTCAACGCCCTCGTCGCCTACGACCTCCGCACCCGCCGCCGTCTCTTCCTCTCCCTCCTCCCCTCCGACCCCGATTCCAACATCGCTTCCATCGGTCGTGGGCGGGACGTGGCCAACGACGTCGCGCGTGGACTTCAGAGGCAACGCTTATGTCACCAATTCAGTCGGAAACTTCATCTGGAAAGTCAACGCAAGCGGAGAGGCGTCGATTTTTTCAAGATCTCCGGCTTTTAGCCGTTACGCATCTGTCATGGATCAAAACGAACCGTTCAACGATTGCGGGCTGAATGGAATCGCTTACGTCAGCAAGGGTTATTTATTGGTGGTGCAATCCAATAGGGCAAGATGTTTAAGGTTGATGCGGACGATGGGACGGCGAGGGTAGTCCTGCTGAACGAGGATTTGGTAATGCCAGATGGGATAGCGATAAGGAGGGACGGCGTCGTATTAGTTGTTTCTACGCAAAGGTTGTGGTTTCTGAAGAGTGCTGATAGTTGGGCAGAAGGCGTGGTGTATGACAAAACTGCCCTTGATGTGGAAGGCTCTGCTACCTCGGTGGTGGTGGGTGAGGAGGATAGGGTGTACGTGTTATATGGGCATGTGGTGGAGGGAATAATGGGGAACGGGGAAGGGAGGGAAAGGTTTGAAATAGTGAGGGTGAGGTCCGAGAAGGAGAGCGGCGAGGAACATGTTTGGGTTTTTGTTTTGGTAGGGTTGGGTTTGGCTTATTTCTTGTTCTGGAGGTTTCAAATGAGGCAGCTTGTCAAAAACATGGACAAAAAGATCAATTGATTTGCTTGCCCTTTGTCTCATTTTTTTGTAATTTATATGTAAGACGATTTCCACATGCTACTCTCTTTGCACTAATACCTTTCATGATTTCAATGCATTCTTCTACATTTTTATCTTAAGTGGGAATAGATAAGAAATTCAACACTCTATATAGCTTACCACTTTTGCTGTTAAAAGAAAACATACTAACCCAACAGCTCGTCCTCACACCCAAGAACTAACAAACTCAATAAACCCTATTCCACCAACCCAATTCTGCAACTATTCTTGCAATCAATTAGACATGTCTGATTTGTCAAAGTGTCAGTAACAGTACCTAGTTGAGCGTCATTAAAAGTGTGAGGTTTAGATGTGTCGTGTAATGGAAGTAATGCTAATTACATGAGGAATTAGTACAAAGGTTTGCATGTCTTGATGCTTGATTCGAATTTAGTTGATATATGTGTCCTAATAATGAAGCCGCCATTGGTTTTATTAATTAAGTGCAACCGACTCAGTTAGGTGAATTGACAAAAAAGAAATCATATATATACAAAGACCATTCTGAAGTTTTTATGTTTGTAGAGTTAATGCACAATTGCAACTACACGTATGATTTCGGTTCAAATAGGACTGATAAACGAGCTTTAACATTACTCTGGCACCAATTTTTCATCAGAAACGAAATTCTAGCGTAGTACTGCCGGACTTTTAACAGATACATACATTTATTTTGCAGGAAATTGTAGTCTTTTTTTCTTTTTGACACACAGAAAATTCAAGTCTTTATTTAATCAGGCTTTCGCGCAAACAAGGGCTGCTCTTCGTGATGACCCATACTTTCACTGTATTAACTGACCTTTTGACATTCAGAGCAACTGAAGGCAAATTGACACCATGATCGAACCTGTTACTGAGAATATCACAAAGCATTATTTGAAGGAGGAATGTTGCTGAGGGTTGCTTCCACCAATGGTTTAACTGCGCCTTCTGGAGGTGGCAGTGGCAAAGTTGGAGACTTCTTATCCTTTGGTGACGGTTTTGTTGGAGACTTCATCTCATTCTCAGTTTTTGGCTTAGATAGCCCAGCCTTCGCCCTAAGCTCCTCAAGCTTCTCCATTATCATTTTCCTCATCTCAAGTCTACTAACACGAGCTATGGCAGGTTTTGGAAGAAGGGTAAGACCAAGAATTTCAGCAGTTAAACATTGCATCATATCTCTACGTGAAACAGCAAAGCTTTTTGTTGTCAATGATTTATGTCTTTTCTCGCACTTCACCTGCAAAAGAGACAAAGGAATGTGTTCAGAGGTATGCCAATGTAGCGTCTAAAGGCAGGTCCTTTCTTTTTTCTCTTATACTGAATGCAACGCACTAAGTCATCTTTTAGTGATTGTATCCAAATGACGTAGAAGACAATGATTTCACAAGATTCATTCTTGTTCTCCAAAATCCAAACAGAATTCTCAAGTCTGCACTCTGCACCAACTTTAGTAGTTCTAAAACATGCCTTCATCTGCTGAAACTTATCAATAAACTCAGTTCTCTCGTCCAAATAAAGGAATGTAAACCAAAAATAGTCAATGTACTGCACTCTGTAAACTGTATGAGTTCTAAAGTTATTTGTATACATATATGAGATCCTTTTGTCCTCTCTCTTCTCAAAAAAGAGAGTTTATAGGTTCCTGAAAAGAAAAATTATAGAAGAAAAGAAGCAGGAGTGCAATCAACAGCCAGATTTTGCAGCAACAATCGTAACATGGGAAAATACACATTCCTTATGACCCACCAGTTATCAAGATGACCATTTGATTTAGAGAAAACATATTGATATCCCTCCCTTGTCATGTTCACAGGCATAAACCCAACCAATTTCTTCAGCAGAAAAATTAAAAGAAACATGAAAAAAGGAATAGTAAAGAATAAGGAGGTCTAACGAACTGGAAGTCAGTGAGTACAGATTCAAACGAAAAAGCAGAACACTGAAAATGCCAATCTATACAGGAGTTTCTCACATCATATAGGCTGACCTTCAATGTGATATATGCGGGTCAGACCATCTTTTGTGCATCAAATACTTAAACAAAGCAGCCATCAACTTTAAAATATAATTGACCTATATTAATTACTGATAATCATACTTTTTGAAGAAGTTTGGCTAATTTCATTCATCTACAATATAGTATGCCATATAATGCATCTTTAACGGTAGCCATCTTGGTTATTAGAGACAACGATCATCTTTAAGCTACATGTAGCATACAATGTGCCGTGGCAGTATGATTTGCAGCTTAACTAACAATATCAAGTTTCCTGGAAATTATGGAAATGAGCAAGTAAAAAATAACTAATATTTTAAAAAAAAACTAAAATGAGTTTCTCTCAAATGCAGATATACTTTTAGATATAATGGCAAATGCACAAAGTTTAATAACTATAATAATCTATCAAGACAATATTCCACCACCCAATGAGATGTTCAAAACCACTTACAATTGCCATAAACTTAAGTGCTTCTTAATAATAATGGAATCTATCCCTATATAAATTAGGCCACTTAACTAGCAAAGAGAAAACTAAGGCACCCCTGCACACATAGAGGAATTGGGGGGAAAATGCAATGACAACACCTGATGGTTTTTTATTAAGTCCCTCACAACTTTTGACCCCATTTTCAGACAATGGTAAGAAAATTAGAACTGACAATGAGAAGTACACAACTTGAGAATCACTTAGCCACAAGGGTAACAAATGATCCAACTGATAATGAATAAAGTTTTATGTCTTTGTCAAGCGGACCAGAGTTGTAGAGAGGTAGATCTCACGTTTAGAACAGCAGAGCAGACGATTGCACATCTAGGTATAATTGGCCATTGCTTTTGCTATTTGGTTTTTACAGCTGTAAGAAGAGAGCATAAGAAAAAAAATATGGTTGCAAATGCAAATTATGTTTTTCAAAAATTAAATCGAATTAGTAATCAGCTTTTGGAGAACAAAATGAGTGAATTTTACTTCAATATAGAATAATTATGCTAGAATTGGTGTTGCATTTTTGTCATTTGATTATTTTTAATCAATTATGATATCTCTTTCCACCATTTCCTTTTTGTTTCTAGTAAATTTGAAAAGATAGCAACTAGTAAAAGCTATAAGCAAACGGAGCCCTAGTTAAGATATGGTAGTTAAGATAAAGCAATAAACTCACAAACTAAAACTACCAAGTCAAAAGAAACGCAAAGGAATTGATGGGCATTCAATCCACCAAATAACCCATAAAAATGAAAAAAAATGACTACACTACTGATTCACAAACTTGGGTTCATAACAAAATTGAAAAACAGACAAATGCAGCTATGCATTTGTGAATTCTAGCCAAAACAAATCAATGATCACATCACATCTTTGTCCTTCTTATAACTTGATTAAATAATAAGTTTAAAAAAGGGGAAAGAAGTGGGTGTGAGAGTTGTTGGGGGCGGAGGTGCATAGACCATCTGCCTAGAAGCTGGACATTGATTCAAAAAGATCTTCACTTTAAACTAAACCTTTTCATTTTTTTTTTATTTGAACTCTGTTCCTCTACATTTAGCTAGAAGCTGAAAAGTAGAGGAATTCCAAAGCAAACTTTTTTTAGCAACATACCTGAAGAGGAACAAAAGCTGTCTTTATCTTGGTAGCAACCATAGCTGATCTTTTGCTGGGTAATAAGTCTCCTTTCTCCACAGCCGGAGTCACCAGGCTTCCCACAGTGTTCCAGTTAGAGGACGCCATCTGTCTTCGGTAATGTCTCTTTCGGCGGATGTGCACCGTCACTTCAGCTTCGATTTAGATTTCACTGTTGACTGTTGAGCGTTGAGCGTTGAGCATTTGAGTCAAAGAGAACTGAGTCGGTGAAAGTTGAAGTTGTAGCATTTTCGTACGTGGTGGGCCACGATGGGCCGGGACAGGTTGGGCGGTGTACATAAGTTTGACCGAGAAGCAAGCCCAATTTATTTATTATTAAAATGGGCGGTGGCATTTGTTTGTTTGTTTGAGGATCCTCTGTTTTAATTGAAAAGCTCTTCTTCCTCACCTCTTGTCCTTTTCAGGTAACATTTCATGTCCTTTTCAAGATATGATAATGCAATTACCATATATTATATGACATAAAATTCAAATATCATTTTGTATAAAATACCAAACCTAGGCACTAGCTCATCTAACCCATTTAAGTTTTATTTTATTATTTAAATATTTAAAAATACTTTCATATTAATGTTTTAATGTTTATATATATATATTCTAGGGTTAAAATTAAATAAAAATAATTATTTATTAATATTATAATATCACTGGCTGGCCTGAGAAAATCTTGTCCAATTGTGAACACGTTTAAAAAATAACAATGTTTTAAAATTTACTAAATTACTGATTTTAATATTCTAATAGCATAAGAATTTGTGAAATAATATTAATATTTTATATCTAAATAAGTTATAATTAATAAAATTAATAAATAAATATAAAAACTATATTTATCTTTAATAAACTAACTTTCAACTTTTTAAATTTGATGAAAAACCTTTGAATGAGAATGAATTTAATTTATCAAAATAATAATGAATTTGCTATTAAAACAAAGATTATATACCTAACTAAAGAAAAAAGTGTGGATAAAAATATATAATATTGTAAAGAATTTTTGATAGAGTAAAAATTATTTTTATTTTGGAGAGAAAGCAAGTTTTTTTCACACATTAAGCACAAAAAATTGCCTATAATTGATTTACAAATTACTAAACTTTGATGAAAGAAAAAGTTTCCCATCTTTTTGAATGAAAATCAGATCACCTCTCATAATTATAATTTAATCATTTTTTATGATTTAAGATCATTATTTTTGTAAAATCACTAAATGCTTACCCAACACAGACCTAATCAATGAGTGCAATTCAACAGAAATTTCGAGATGATTTTCTAGGACTAAACATCATCCTTATATATTCACCTTTACTCTTAGTTTTTAAATCCAAACCTTCAAACACAAAGGTCCAAACATAAAGTCATTAAGATGAATTTAGGAGAAGCCAACAACGTTAGGTTGAGAAAGGACGAGAAGAGAGGTGAGAGTGTTGAAAATACGTTGCAAATAAGTAAGGCAC